GCTGTGTGCAATGATATACCTAAACAGAGCGTAGTCCAAGCCTCTATGCCTCTATTATTTTGGATGCGTTATCTGGTTATGCATAGTGTAGTTTTTATTTTTTCAGTCTAAAAAAATCCACTTGTTATCGTATGTCAATTGAAGTGATTGAGTAACACATTACAATGTCATATTTGATTTAAAGGGGTTAAAGAGAGGCTCAAACTTCAAAATATGCCTCAGTAAACAATTAGAGTCACCGCCTTCCCAATTGGCACATACACCGCTGCACACATATTTGTGTCAGTTTATGCAAGTGTGCCCAGCTGCAAGAATTTAAAGGTGTTTTCCAATAAACACTATCCCCATAGCAAACTTCCACACCGCCAGAATCAAGATATCAAACACCATGACAGGAAGACTACAGGGAGAGAAAAAGGAGAAGAGAGCGGAATTGAGTTGTCAGACCGCAGAGGTGTTTCTGGTTCTATATTACAGGGTATTTACAGCTGTGCAGATGTGTGTGTTTGTCAGGCGTTGACATTGAACCTCTGGGCCCGGGTGGAGAAAGCCAAGTGTTGTATGGGAGTTGTCGGGCTGGGCGGTATTGATGGCCGCCTAGGGGTATTTGAAAGCAAGAGGTATGTGCGTATGAGCTAGAAACAGTTGTTCCCTCAAAGTAATGACTACCTGTGCTCCTTCTGCCTGATTTACGAACATACGTGATCTCTCCTCACTCCTAGATTTGTGGCAGGGCAGGCAGGATGCAATGAATATCCTAAACACACCCCATGATAGATGTTTTCATTTGTTGTGTAAAGAGCTCCTTTGAAAAATCCATGTGAATGAGATGTCTCCTCTGAATGCTCCCTGTCGTTCTCCCTTGCTGTGGAAAATGCTTTGTAGATGTGGCATCTGACTGATGAGGATGCAAGTTTTACTGTGCCGCCCGTGGGGTCACTGCTGCTGATTAAAATTGGGTGTCATTTGGCGTTGTGCATCCATGCATATCCACTTTCCCAGGGGTTTTGATCAAGCCCATGTTCTTCTCGTTAGAGGTCAGGGGTCACAAAAGAGGCAGCCGGGCTTAGACATCTCTGGTATCAAAGTACCAGAGTTTAGGGAATAAGTTCAAAAATCCAAGTAGCAGCCATACTGATTGTGCTCATATGTCTTGAGTATAATCAGATATAAAACATATGTCAAGTCTAGTCAAGTCAACTTTATTTATTTAGTACATTTCATAGGCGTAGACTCTACTATGAAATGGGGAAGTTTCTCATGTTATGTGGCATGGAAATGTCAGTCACACAAACCTTGTGAGACATTTTAAAACATGAGAAAACTTTCTGATTATATAAGCACTGAATGCGTTGTCTGTGGTCTGAAAACACATTCATCGCGATGACAACAAGACTGTGAGATAAGCTAAGTACCTTCAAGGATCACTCTCTAAATCATTTTATTATCTTAGATGGAATGAATCTACACACAGAAATGTGTAACATTGAATTAAAGGGTTTCTGACTACAGAACTACAGAGGGAAAGTTATTGTGGTTACATCCAAAACATTTTATGATGTTCATTTTGAAAGAAAACTATTCATAATTTCACCCCATTTTTTTTAGTTAAGGCTGTTTATTCCCTCTCCTTACTGTAATATTACCCATTCCATTCATTAATGTAGGTGGTTGCTTATAGAACTGTCATGCTACAGACACGTGAAAGGGATTATAGAGGAGTAAGCCTCAACATGCAGTGATCAGGTTTCCACTAAGGCTAATTAATCATAGCAGCATTTCAATCATAGTGTGAAAACACAATGTTTGTGGAATTGATCATGTTATTAGATTAAATAAATTTAAGTTTTGTTTTACTCTCTTCTAAGAAAAGGTTAATTAAAATGTGCTTCTTTCCAGAATACAGTCTGATGTTATATGATCTGGGAATATGGTTGCCTTCCTTGTTTCTGTTTGTGGCCAGCTTTCCACTGGAATACTGAACAAACAGTAGTGTCCAATAGTACCTCTACAAATCAAAGAGAGTATAATCTCTTACTACCTGGTTTGTGCTGAAATTAGATACAAGCCCTCAATAACAATCTACTACCATCACAAAAATATTTGACTGATGGCTGCTGTCCACTGCTAGTACTGTGATTCCTCTAATACTTGCTTTTGGTCAGGTAGGCAAGTTTATATAAGGTCTGCTGGCTACCGCTGTTCCACAGGAGAACTTTGAACTTTCTTTTTGGCCTTCTTGTCTCTTCTCCTTTTCTCTCCTCTCCTCCCCTCTCCTGGTTTTCTTGTTTCCATAGTATCTTTGGAGTTTTCAACGCATCTGTACAGGCTCATCTCTAAGCCATGGGAGTGTCATAAATGCATTGGTTTTCCTAGGCAAGAGGTAAGGCCCGCTGAGAGTTAAAAGGAAGTAGTAATGAGGTTAGAGAGAGAGCGGACTAAGTCTTTTGTGTGATTAGCAACAACTTATGTGGCTGTCCCATGTCTGCCGAGTATTGTGGAAAACCAAACCCACAAGAGAGTACCTTCAGTCATGAAGGTTAATGAGCTCAGTAAACATGGAAATCTTCCAGAATATTGTGGGCCAAAGAGGATTTTCAACTATTTTCCATGCCTGGGTGTGAAGAAAGCACCCTAATTTCAAGCTTGATTTTGTAGATCAGCATACAAATGGTATGCTTATTTTCTCAAAATATCCCTTTCAAACTGCTTCGGGTTACCTTAATTTTCTAAGCCAGTTGTAGGTGTAATGAATTCACCGCTATCAAAATATAGACTTCATATGTTTGTAATGCGGCAGATTCTTGGAAATTTTACTTGATATTACAAGACATTCCTGTATTATGTTGTAGTGTATTTTTACCGCTGTGTTGGCCTAGCTTTGACCTACAAGGTTCACACTAAAGGTGTCAAAATATAAAGGATTAAATATGGCTGAATGCTTATATAATTTACCAGCCTCAAAATAATCTAAAGGATTGTTTGGGCGACATTGGAATTTAGATGATCTTGGAGTGTGTAAAAAATAATCCATTTTCAATTGTTTTTACATTCTGTCAGTAAGGGGACACGTTTAACTTGATATAAAGATAAAGATATAGTGGTGCTGCTTCTAAGTCATGAAAATCCTGAACATTTTTTGAATTTGAACAAATATTACACAGGCAAATCCTTAAGTTTGTAAACCCTGTTACTCTCGCAGTTATTTGAAAGTGATTTTGATGCTTGCTTGTAAAGATTATTCCACAACAGAAAAATGG